AAAGTTTTCAAATTCAATGATATTCCTCCCTGGGATTAAAGAATTCTACCACCCGCAAGGTAGGTAAAGTTAAAAAAAAAAATCCATAGCTCTGCCTCCTAAATAAAACCTAAGGAAGACTGTAATTTCAGTGCTGCAGTAAGACATTAACAATCTCAAATACCTTCTGTTCCTGTATTCTTACATTTCTCCTCTGATATGGCAAAGGAATCTGGAAGGTAATGTGTCTCATAAATTTTAAGATTGGGCTAAGAATGTGGTTAGACTTTTCATTTCTTATAAACACAGGTATGCAAAAAAGACTTTATTAGTGCTTTTGATGTTTACGTAAAATGTTCTCCACTTTGCTAATATCTTTTCTTGCTTACTAAATAGGTGACAAAATGAGAAATGTCATTTCAATTAAGAAAATAAGGCACAGTATAGGGTAAAAGTACAAAAGAAATGATACATCTCAAATATTACATATTTAAAATTTATAAAAACCATGCCTTTACAGTATGCTGATATACATATACATATCATAAAAATGTTCATATCATGATGCAAATATCATAAAATAGGACATAAAAAATGAAGGGAAAATTAGTTTCAGATGAAACAATAAAAATTAGTGTTAAAGCAGAGACCATAGATAAAATGTTGTACTGTAACATCTGATTTATTTCTAAAATAGTGTCTGTGTCACATAGAATTTTGTTTAATGAATTAAATCTCCATTAATCAAATTTATTTTATAAGCACCTGAATGGGTGTGATTATTTTAGCAAGCCTTTGATATTAAATTTGTAAGAACCTAGATTTTGAAAGAGGTGTTTTTGAGAAATGAAAAATTTTAGATTACATGTAAGTTAATAACGAATTTCTCAAGTACTTATAAAAGTATATCCAAGTAATACAACATAATGAAGTAACAAGAAGAACAAAAATAGAGAAATGCATTTCCATTTTAAATCTGAATTCCACCTTGAGCAAGAGAGAAATAAGGTAATGAACGTTTTAGACATATTAATGTAAACATCAGAGATCATTTATAAGCCTATTTCTGGAGAATATTTCCAAGAAACTTTTTAGGGTGGAAAACACTTTCAACAGATACGAACAATAGCTTCAAAAGCTAGGAAAAAGTATTTGGAGTTTAAAAGTTAATACTGTATTGCTTTAACAGTTTCCTTGGCCATTTGTCTTTTGTTTAAATTTCTTTACCTGTGCTCATTCTGTGTGCCTAAGAAACCTAGCAAAATAGTGTAATGTTCCAAGTGTGAATGGCCTGGTGAAAAAGAGTGAATTAGTTCAACAATACAGCCGGTTAACAACAACAACAACAACAACAACAAAAAGTCCACAAAAACTAAGGCAAAACCTTTAAATCCGAATTAGAGCCGGTTAACAACAACAACAACAACAACAAAAAGTCCACAAAAACTAAGGCAAAACCTTTAAATCCGAATTAAAAGAATAGATTTGGGGGATAAGATGGCGTAGTTACTACACCTTTATACCTCTCTGCCTCCAGAATGCTCCTATCTTCCCTGGGAAGGAACCGGAGAGCTGGTTAGGTTATTATTATTTTTAAGTTCAGCTCATGTTCAGGTGTTCCCAACGCGGATAAACGCGCGTAGCCATTGTGCTCAGAGCGCAGGTGTCAAACGCCAGACCTGGGAGCCCGCAATGTCCGCCAGGCACGCTCTTTGGCAAACAATGACTTTGCTGCCTGCGAGCGGAAGAGCCTCGGCACAGCTCAAGGCACGTAGGTTAAGAAGCCACGGCTCTGGCATCTGAAGAAGCAGCCAACTTTCCTAATGCCACCCGCGCGCCAGTCTCGCAGCAGAGCACCCAGCAGCGCAAAGTCCCCAACCTGCCTTCCTGGCCGGCATTTCTCTTCTAGCAGGTGTAAAGGGCGTTTAAGTGCTCCAACAAAGTTACTTTTCTTTTCTTTTCGCCTAGGGGAACAGGCTGGACAAGGGAAGGAGGAAAAAAAAAGGTGGGCGGGGGTGCTTGTGCCCGGCGCTCTGAAATAGACTGTGCCACGGCCCAGGAACCGCTAGCAATTTCTTCTTTCTTTCTGGTACCGGGGATCAAACTCGGGACCTTGAGCTCGTAAGTCAGTCGGCGGAACCACTGAGCTAAATCCCCGGCCCTAGCAATTTCTTGAAAATTAATAAAGTCCGACGCATCCGGGTTTGGGGGACAGAAGATAACACCCGCTTGAGAAAGGGAGAAAAGCCTGGGATCTGTCCAGCGAACCTAATTCCGGTGAGGGTCTCGGCCTCCTTAGTCTCCTCCCCACCCCACTTTGGGAAGGGAAAGAGGGATGAGGTCCCAACACCCAGATCGGATCGGGCCTGGCTTTGCATCCCCTGGACCCTCGGGTGTCTGCGGCCCTAGGGCTCCGCTGGCTGCTCGGGCTCTTAAGCAGATCTGTTGGGGCCCCACGCAGAGCGGGGTCCCTAGGCTGGGGACGAGAGGGGGCGCCCCGCAGCGCAGTGAGTGAGGGCCCGGACTGCGGCGGTGAGCTACCCAGCTTCTGCGTTTTGATTTCCTTCCCTTTCTAAGCCGCGTTTACAACTTCGCCAATGAATAACCCGCCTCTCTTTTCAACCTAATCACGGCCCTTTGACTTCACTACCGCCAATGAACCCCCCGCCTCTCTTTTCAACCTAATCACGGCCCTTTGTGTATCTTTCTGTTGATGATTTATAGAAATAAATTAATAACACCCCAACTCCACGTGCTGCAGTTTATGTTACATCTCTGCTGCGTCCCGCCGGGCGCTGCTAGGCCGGGTGCAGAGGGGCGCTCGGATCTACTCGAGCTCCCCAGGTCCTCAGAGCGCCGCGCTAGCCAGGGGCCGGGGAGAAGGGCCTAGGCCTGGGTGACCTGCCGCGAGGCCGGGAGCCCGCCTGTTTCCAGGTCCAGATCAACCTCCGCGCCGCCCTGGAGCCCCAGCCACTCTGAGGGGCTCCTCCTCGGACTCCTCTCACCCTCGGGGACCCACACCTTGCTGTTCCCCAACCCTGGCCGGGGATCAATCACTGCTACGCAGGGAGGGAAACGGCGAGGGAAGAACCTCAAGTCTACGAATTACAGCAAAACATTGGGCTGGGGGAGGCTAGAATTCTGTTGTCCAGAGAACAAACCACCGAGTTCCCAGGGCGCAAATTCAAAAGCAAGGTCACATTCCACCTTGAACCGGCACTGCGAGCGCGTGGCCTGGCCGGGAGCGACTTCAGTCTTGAAATCGCAGCGCTTCAGTACTGGGGTACAAGCGAGAGGCTCCTTCCCAAAACTCTGCGGCCTAGGAGCGAGCTGCGGTCACAGAACCGCTGGGCTCACTGGATAATTAGTAAGTAGCTGTCAAAGCGTAGGCCGATCGGAGAGGACCCGGTGGATCCTGGCCCGGGGCAAGAAGGCCCGGTTGCCCGATTTCCCCCGGGGGCGCCTGGGTGTCGGCGGCTAGGTGCGCGCGCGCCTCCTTTGGCAGATTGAGACCAAATCCTTTGCGAATGGGTTCTGAGCTGGATTTACCCGACCCCACCTCCGTTTGCTTAGCTTCGTAGTTTATTCTGCCCCGCGCTGGTCCACCCTGACCGCACATGCAAAAGTTCCCCTTTGCAAATCTAAAAACGGCTCTAAGAATTCGAGATAATTTCGAGTCTTGCCTGGGCGCCGCAGGTGGGAGCGCCTACCAGATCCCGGCCCTAGGTACTGGCCGCCGGTACCTCCGCAAAGTAGGGCGGGTCGCTGTGCCCGAGCCCGGCCCGCGGCTTTCCTGACCCCAGGCAGCACGGCCCGAGGCTTGCGGGACTGGAGCTTCTGCTCCCCGGCAATCACAGCTATTGCCCCACTCGCGCCTTCAATCTCTGGGGCAAACCTCGGGCAAAAGGCTCCGCGCCTCTAGTTCTCCCGGGCCAAGCCCCAGCCCCATGGAGAAGGGCCTAGGGTCCTGGACGCTGGCCTGGAGCTTCGAGCCCAGGGTGGCCTTGTTGGGGGTCTGGGAAGGGTCCAGGTGTCGGGAGAAAAGCACAGCGCCTGCCGGGGGGCTTCTCCAGGGGCAAACGGGGTTGAGGGAGTAGTGGGCTCTGGCGCGGAGCGCGGGGCCCGGACTCCGGCGCGCTCTGCTCGGCGCTCGCTGCCTACCTGAGCATCCGGTCCACCTCCGCCCGCTGCTCAGCCGCCTCCTCGGTGTTGAGCGCCTGCAGCTCCTTGAGGATGGGAGGGGTGTCATAGTCGTCGCCGTCCTCGGAGCCCTCGTCCCCGGACAAACGGCCCTTGGCGTGGCCGTTGGTGAGGGTATGGAAGACCGGCTTGGTATCGGGATCCGTCCCGCTCCCGGGGGATAGAGGCAGGGTCTCCAGTTTCACCCCGAAGTTCGGGGATGGCAGCATGTCTTCCAAGGCCTGGACCAGCACCTCCTTGGTGACCCCAGAGCTCAGTAGGGCGCTCAGGAGTTCTTGCTGGAGAGTTGTGAGCTTGGACACCATTTTCCAAGGACGAAAAGAGAAGGGGGTGAGGGGGTGGGTGGGTGCGAGAGAGGAGGGTGGAGGGGAGTTTCACAAGAGAACCCCAAGTCCTGGAACCCCTCCACCCTTCAGCCTCCTGACACTTGTTACTCCCCGGGGTCCCGGAGCCTCCTCCGAGAGGAGTCAGAAAACTTCTAACTTGCCATGATCGCCACCATTAGGCCATATAAGATATGCAAATTAGTGGGAAGGGCCCGGCCTTCGGCAAGATGCAAATGGTGGTGGGGAGGAGGGGGGAACCCAGGGAGAAAGAAAGCCTAAGGGGCAGTCTTGGGGAGCGGGAGACCCGGGCCGGGAGCAGGGCTTGCCAGGGCCCATTGTACTCACGCTGGGGGGCTGAAGACCTTCTTTTGCGGGTTCTGTTTATCAGCTAAACTTTAGCTGACCTTTGGACTTGTTAAAGCAAGTGGCTTGTGGCCTAGGTGCGCGGACTTTTCCACTTGCCTGAAAGAAGAAACTGCGCTTCTGGGTTTCAGGTGAGAGCTGGAGAAAACCGAGGTTCTCTTGGAAGAAGACGGAGGAGGATGCGAGAAGTACAGAGCTTCCAAGGCGTGCACAGGTGGTAAATCCGAAGGCGAAACTGGCCTCCTGGGCTTGAGCGCAGAGGCCAGGGGGAAAGTGGCGGAGATCTTAGGCAGGGTCAGTGTGGATCGGAGGGACCCCATTTATTTCTACCCTCGGTTTCTTCCTTTTAGGCCCAACCTCTTCGGCTGTTTGGATTTGCAGGACTGCGGGCGGGGATAGCGTGGGCAAGGGTGAAGGAGTCGCCGACTGATTTATGACCAGAGGGAGTAGACAAAGTAGAAGTCCCCGTAGCAGCTTGAGCTGGACGCCTGGGCGGCGATCTCCTGCGTATACCCGGAATATCAAAGCGGCTCCACTTTAGCAGCAAAACTAGGACTCCTTTCTAGGAGTGAAGGTAAAGCTCGGCCAGTAGCTGAACGAATAGTTGAGCTGCGCATCCTGGGCTCACTCACTTCTGGTTTGTTCGTAGTTCTAGGACCGCAGCGGAGCGCCCCCACGACCTGAGACGCGTTCCGCAAAGGCGAGGTAGCCGGTCTAGTGCATGCCAAGCGGAGAAGTCACCCCCCAAATCATTGAAGGAAAGAGGTCTTCCCCGCCTAGGCCGGGAAGGAAGCCCTGGGCCCTTCAGCGCTGCAAGACTTTCTACCACAACTCCCCTGGGGCGCCGAGCGGGAGGAAGGAGGCACCCTACTGACCCAAACCTACAGGCCCCAGCCTGACTTGCAGAACCAGGGAAGGGGCTCCTTAGGGCCCTCCATTCGCAGACTCCTGGGGCAGAGGACACTTGTCTTGGAGCCACAGTTTCCTCATCTGCGAAATTTCCTCATCTGCACCTATTGATAGGTGCGGTGCAGCAGAGTTGTAAACAGTGAATAAGGCCACCTCGTTCTAAAAATAGTGTGCACACTTTCCAGTCTGAGAAGGCAGGAGGCCAGGGAAGCTCTAGCACTTCTGAAAGCTTAGAGTTCGCAGAATCAGAAAGAGCGAAAGTGAGGATGGAAAGGACTGAGCAGTTGGGGACAAAAATTCAGTGGGAAAATTGCAAAGGAGCTTGTAAACATATTTTCCTTTTGTTCTCACCTTCAAAGATAACTAGGAGAAACTTGAGTTCAAGCTAGGGGTAAAGAGGAATTTTAGCACGAAGGACGAAGGGTCCAGTGACCTGCAAAATAGGTACAGAATCAAATGTATCAAGTGTGTGAAGGCTGATGATGTGGTTGATCCCACTCAGGCTGTTAAGGGGTGAGGATGCCTTTTGAAAATACAAAGTGGACAGCAGGTGCCTGGGCCACCTGTCCTGGGAGCCAGGAAGAAAAGAGGTTGTTGTGTGCACAGATCCCTGGGGAAGGTTTATGTCCATCTCAGTCCTCCCTGAGAAAGGTAATAATTCCGCAGGAATGAGGATCCTTCGTTTCACCTTGTTTTCTAGTTTATTGTGACGAATGGCAGATTCTTGTCTCCCGTAACCTTCTGTCTCCCCAGCTCCTCCTCTCAAGCAGGATGACGTTCAGAGTAAATGTCCTCAGAGAATCAAGCCCTTGCACCTGTTCTCCCCCTCTTCCCTCTTCCTCCACCCTCATGATAGAAAATCAAGTGTAATGTATATCAGTTTCTCTTTAAACAGCACTGCTGAGCACCTCCTTGGATTTCCAATCATCCTTCACTCTCAAAATTCAGGGATCAACAATCCTACTCTTTCCCAAACCTCAGCCACCCAAATAAAGGTACAGAAATTGCACACAGAATACTACAGGGGAAAATTCCTGTGAGTGTCCAGTTACATCTCCCAAGTCATCTTGCTACTCATATCCAAAAACTTCCCGTAATCTCCTTCCCCATACCTACCTTGTATTTGTCACTTGGTACTATAGTAAGGGGTCATCAAGTCACAATGACTATGAACAGATTCAATATCTACCCTAAAGAAATCTAGCAAAAAATAAATAGACCAACAGTGCATCCTTTAGGGTGTGGGTCTTGGATATTAGCAGCTAAAGGAATTAATTCTTGAAACTCTTCAGTGAAACCTCCTTCCCCAATAGAGGAAGACTCAGTATGTCTGCAATAATCTTTGCTTATGCTACACATGGGATAAAGTGAGGATAGACTGAGGTAATAGCCTCCTGTTAAAGATGGGAAAATAAGCAGGGCGTTGTAGTAGTTACTTAGGGAGGCTGAGGCAGGAAAATCAGCCTGGACAACTAACAACAACTCTGTCTCAGAATAAAATGAAAAGTGCTAGAAATGTAGCTCGATGGTAGAATGTTTGCCTAGCATGCACTAGGAGGCCACAGAGAGGTTGCTTGTAGCCACTGGAGTAAATGCAAATGCTGTTTGGAGCAGGGCTTTAGGATGAAAGAGGAGGGTCCCTAGCTCCCATTGTTTTGGGAGATGAGAGTTGAAAGAGAGATTCTTTGGAGCAGGGGAAAATACACAGTTGAAAACAAAAGGCAGTCTTGCCTTGGAGACAAGCAGACCTAAATGTGCAGAAGGATAGTGATGGCGTATTGTGTTTTTGTGAAAATGAAATGCATTAGCAGTTGCAGGTTCCTGGAGTATGGCAGGCTCTCATATATTTAGACAAAAAGAGACACACCATGAAATCATGCTGATAAGTGAGGCGACTAACTGATCTCTTTGGGCTTTTATAGTCCCAAGTTGTTTTTAAGAGTTACTGAATTTGAAGAGACAGTATTAGACACTTCTACCAATCAGTTTGGAGTCAGATTCCAAGAATTTCTAAGGGCGATTTGGTCCCTGGGATGAAATAATTTAAACTCCATTTAGCATATCGCTTTATGGGGGTTTTCAAGGCTTTGCGCTGGTAATTTTACCAAATGGTGACTGCAGCTTCTGTGAACTCACTTCCTCTGTAATTTATTCTCTTCAGTTGTTCACAAAGTCTCCCCTCCTACCACCATCACCATTTCCCCTGTTTACCTTTCTTCATTTACAGAAGGGAGACCCTGGTCTTTCCGACCTCTGCTGTTCCACTCTCTAAGGCTTCCCATTGATTTGGCAGTGATTAGCAGGGCTCCAAGTGCAATCATCTCTAGAATAAAACATAAATACCATCCTATCCTGGTCTGAAGGAGGTTGGAGATCTTATGATAGAAAACAGTGTTAAAACCCATAGAATATTCTAGACTCCAGGGTCAGGAGCCTGGCTACAGCACTCCTTTCTGAATGATTCTTCACCTCCCAAAGCCTTTGGTGAGCACCTCCTCTGGGCCTCAGATTCTGCTTTTGAGAAATGACCAGTTGGTTTGGACAAGCATTTAAAGCCTCCAACTTTCCTATGGTTTGAAATTACTAAAGGGTCTTAAATTACTGGGGTTTCTACTTCCAGGTCCTTGGCCAGATGGTCCAAGAGCTCAGGTCAGATCTCTGAGTAGTGGTGGACACAAAATATTTGAGTAGCCCATGAAAAAATACACTACAGACTGTAAAGGTCCACAAGGGCTAGGCACCTTTTCACGTCTTGCTCTTTAGTGCCCAGAGAGGTGCTGATATAAGGGAGATGCTTAACAAAATGCTTATTGATTAAGTGAAAAAGTGAATTATCTCTGGATTATACTGTTAAGGATGATTTTTTTGTTTCCTTATTTATACTTGTCAGATTTTCTCAATTGTCAGCAGTGAAAGCCTAGTCTAAAATAATACTTTTCCCCAGATAAAAAAGGATATATACCATATATAGCAACTTTTAAAGTAGGAAGAGTAATCTACAGTGGTAGAGGTTTCTGGAGTGCTAGAAAGGTTCTAAGTTTTAATCAGGATGGAGGATACATCAAGAGTCTTTACATGTAAGCTTTGTGCATATTGCTGCATGTAAGCTATAACTTAGTAAAAATCATTTTAAAACAAGTCCAAAGTATAAAATGTAAACAGCAAAAGTCACCTTCTCACCCCCAACTGTTTACAGTTAATATGTGGCCCTCCAGAATCTTTCTATTCACCACATATAGTTGATCGCCATTAAAATCTATACACTAGTATATATCCCAGGAGCCAGCAAACTTTTTTTCTTTAAAAGGGATAGATAGTAAATATTTTAGGTTTCGTAGGCGAGAAAATCTCTGTGGCAACTATTCATTTTGCTATTACAGGCAATACAAAAATATGTGTGGCTGTGTTCCAATAAAACTTTATTGATAAAAATATTTGGCTGGCTGAATTTGGTCCAGTTTGTCAACTCTTGGATGAAACACTTATTCAGGTCAAAATGTGTAGATCCAAAAGAGACCTTAGAAGTCAACTTACTTCTCTTTTGGGATGAGGAAGCAGATTCTTTATTTGGGGAGGAAAATGACTTTCGCAAGAGTTACAACACAGGGCACTAGGGAAATCCTGGCTTTGGAGTCAGGAAGAGCAGTAATTTTCTGGGTATATGGAGTTTGACTTTGGACAACTACTGCATTTTTTAAAGCCTTTATATTGTGAACATATGTAAGTATTGATAACAATGGGCTTTATGCCTCATAGGACTGTTGAGAGAGTTAAATAAATTAATACAGAAAAACACTTTTCACGGTGTCAACACAAGCTGGGGACACATTAAGTTCTTGCTAGTCATAGCACATGGCTTAAGGGTCCCCTCCTTTCTGCTCCCCCATTCTTCTAATGCGTGGCTTGTGAGGTAAGTTTACTACCAAAGCTCCCAAATTTTCCCTCTGTCTGGAGCCCTTTGGGAGGCTCTATGCAGGAATAACAAACGGATACAGAAAGACAGCAAATCCCACTCATTTCATCCGCTGGCCTCCTTTCCAAAAATCCCTTCCAGCTCTGAGCCTGTATTTCCTCAACAGGCCGCTATTAGATGGTTTTAGCTGGGGAAATTCCTAAGGGTAAAGAAGCTCTCTTTCCTTTCGATTCAACAACCCACATCCTTCTGCTGGGTCATATTTCACATAAGGTGTTTCCAGTAGCTTGTAAAAGATTAAATTAAAAAAACCAGTGAATGACCTAGTATGATATTAAACTAATAAATACTACACCTAGCATTGAATCCTTCACTCCAGAATGAACCCTACTCCTTTTTCTTCCTTTGCAACAACCCATGAAAAGTGGGTAGTGGGCCCTGCACACAGTAAGTGCTCCATGAATGCTCAATGAATAAAAGGTGAGCCCAGGTACAATAGGTATTCCATGAATGTTTACTAAATAAATGATATAGGCTGGGTTATAGATCTTAGGGGGGAAAAAAAAAGAGAAATAATGTTTCCTAAAATTTCTTGGAGTCTGTTTTCAGATTAATATTAAAAGAAGCATTATTGTCACACACAATAATTACGTGCTCTCTTCTTTTCCTCTTCACAAACCCACGAGGCAGGCACTGTCACTCCCACTTTAATGGTGAGGAAATGGAAGTTCGAAGATGGTAAGGAGGGCTAGCATTGTGGTGCACAATTGTAATTCCAGTTACTCAGGAGGCTGAGGCAGGAGGATCACAAGTTTCAAGCCAACCTGGACTACATAATGAGAACCTGTCTCAAAATTAAAAACAAAAGGGTTGGGGTTGTAGCTCAGTGGTAGAGTGGTTGCTTAGCATGTGTAAAGTCTTGGTATATTATTCCTCAGTATATTGAGAAAAAAAAATTTAAAAGAAAATGCGTTAGCCTAAGAGCCCATAATGGTTTAAGGATTGGAGCCTGGAACTCGGACTGAGGACCCCCTAATCTACATTGAATGGCCAGCTTCTGTGCTTTTGTACCTTCCAAGTCCTCTACCCAGCCAGAAAGGAGGGCAAACATCCAGAAAGCACCCTGAGCAGTCATCCCAGACTTAACACACATACAGAGAGAGAGAGAGAGAGAGAGAGAGAGAGAGATCAGAGTATCAGCTCCTGTCGGAGGAGGTATCTGACATGTAAGGAAGTAGATAAGTACAGAGATTTATGATGTACAGAGAGCGTCCTCTTTTCCTCCAGCCATCAAAATAGTCCTGTGAAGAAGGTGCTGCAGGTGTTTACTCCACAACAGACAGACATTAAATGAGCAGACATTAAATGCTTGGCCCTTGGGTCTGAACATCTCTCCTTGGCAGAGACAGAGAGGAATCATTGAAAGTTTTCAAGGAGGTGTGTGCCATTTTAAAATATTTTTTAGAGAATGTGTGTAACATCAATAACTAATAGTAGCTATTTACTGGATGCTTACACCGCTGTGTTGAAATTTATACCATTATCTTATTCAGTCCTTACAATTGTCTGAAGTTGACTCTCATTTTCTGAATTTTACAAGATTAAAATGACTAAGTGGTTAAATATACTCTAATTTTTCCTTTTTCTTGGAGTCAAAATGGCAGGATTCAAACTTTGGATTCAGTAACTGTGTATGAGTAATTTATTCAAACTTCCCACACCTCGACATACCTTTCTTTACAGTGAGGATAGAGACGGCATTACTTAGCAGGGAGGTCGGAATGAGTACATGATTTGACACACTTCGAGGGATTAGAAGACTGGCTGTCAGTAAGCTCCTAGTAATGGTGGTGATTGTCCAACATGGCAAACCCAAAGAAGGGGACCCGGAGGGCTCTTTGAAGGAGAAGCAGTTGCAGTATAGTTAAAAAAGAAAAATAACGTAAGCACCTCATAGCCATTATTTGCATGAATGATGACATGTACCACAAACAATTTATGTACACTATAAAATTAACACTGGGAGTGTGGTTGCACACTCCTGGAATCCCAGCGCTCAGGAGGCTGAGGCAGGAGGATCGCTGGGAGTTCGAGACCAGCCTGGGCTACATAGTGAGTTCCAGGACAGTCTCAACTGCATAGTGAGACCCTGTCTCAAAAAAACAAACAAAAATTAACACAAAAACAAAAATATAGGGTTAACATGAATATACAAACAAACACTAAGATCCTCCTCCTGTCCACATATCATCTTGCACACCCCAACTCTGGGATCCCGGTTCTCAAGGAAGGAAGAACTCACTTTTACTTTACTTTTGGATAAACAGAAATACATTTAGAGGCTTCCAGATAAGCTACCTTTTGGGAATTTTCTAAAATTTTGAAGAAAGTATGGGGAAATTGATTACAGGTACTGTGGCACCTTGATTCAAGGCCTTAATTTGTTCCATGACTTTTGGAAAAGACCGCTGCGGCTGTGTCTATCACCCCATGCAGAGTCTGCAGAGACAAAATTTTGCCAGAAGCTTCTGTTTGTGAACCAAATTATTTGCAAACCAAATTATTTGCAAACAGAAGCATTGGTGAACCAAGTTACCACGGTATAGGATGAGCAAATGGAAAAATGGAAGAAGAGGATAACAAAAAAGATACAAAAGAAATAAAATGATTTTTTTTTTATTGTGATATTGGGCATTGAACAGGGCCCTCCCACATAATAATCTTTTTAAAGGAAGAAAGATAAAAAGGAAAGAAGAAAAGGAAGAAAAATGAAAGTAAAGAAGGAAAATAGAAAAGAGGAGAGAAAAAGAAAGAGAGGGGCAAAGGGGACAGGAATAATGTCCCCTCCCCATGCCACCGGACAGAGGCAGGGCTTCTGCTCTGGAGCCGGCCTTTGCTCAGAGCCCTCTGTGTCGTAGGAATGTTCCGTCACAGTGTGTAGGCTGGACCTTGGCCTGTTTCCACACGCGCAGAGCCACTGGCTGATGAAGTGGAGGTAGATTTCTGGCCCACATCTCCTACCCTATAGCTAGGCTTCACCTGGCGGTGGTGTCAGGAGTGATGGACAGCCTGACCCTTTCCCATCCCTGTGCCACACACCTCATTAACTTCTCCTTGCAGCTGGAGGTGGCCGTGAGGGATCAGAAAAGTTGCCAGGTTCTTCAGAGAGCCGAGCAGTGTGTGGTTTCCCAGCCGCTCCAACCCCCGGAGGAGTCTGCTGCAGGGGATGGGAGGCAGCCTGGTTTACAGAGCATTGAAAGGGAAAAAGTCCTGCTCCAAACTCTTACAGAACATGGAATCCTTTTTGTTTTTTAGTTCCTTGCTTTAAAAAATGAAAGACTTGAACAAGGTGCTTCAATGTAGAACAGATCAAATGAAATAACACAAAAGAGGCCACAAAATAAGACCACATGAAAATGCTTGCCAAATGGAATTTTCTAATTTTGAATTCGATTGAACCCTGGACCATGAGACGTATGTAGTATTTGTTGACTGACTGATTGGATGGTGAGTTTTCGCAATAATCGGTGACAATACGAAATGGGCAGTGGCTTCATAAAACTACAGAAATTGAGGCCCGAGAAATTAAGGGCCTATGGTCATGCAGTGAGTGACTAGTTCCAAATCTTCTGCTGTCACCAGGGCTCTGGTTCCATGAGTCCTTTTGTTTCCTCTGGGAAGATTTGTCCCTTGCCTCGGTGTTCTGACCTGGTCCTTCCTTTGGGATGAGTTGTAGTTCATGGTACACTGAGCACCTACAGGAAGACACGCGGTGTTGGATGTGGGTGGGGTAGGGAACAAAGCTTCAAAGCCGGCCCCTGCCCTCCCGATGTGACTGACAGGCACTCCTGGACCTTGCGACAACTGCAGGGACCCTATCATTTTCACTATCGTTTCCTTGTCTCGCTATTGAATATTTTTCTTATCTATGTGAGCATTCGCCTTTTTAAAAGGTATTTATTTTTTAAATTACAAAACTAGTAAACATCAGAGACATCACCATGTCCCCATGTGCACAGCAGCTCGGTCCACACTAGCCAAGATGTGGTTGTGACCTCAGTTTCCTTCAATAGGTGAATAAAATGATATGTATGGTCTTGGCACGCAACCGAGTATTAGCCAACCATAAAAGGGAATGAAATTTTACACATACTACAGCATAGATGGCTCTTAAATCCATTGTACTAAGTGAAATAAGACAAGCACAAAGGACAAACATCGCCATATTCTACTTACATGGGGTAATCAAGTGATTCAGTGGTCCTAGAATTTTCTCCTCTCTCCTCCCCTCCCCTCCCCTCCCCACTTCCTCCACAATACTGGAAATTGAACTCAGGGCCATCAAACTGAGCTGCATCCCCAGCCCTTCTATTTATCTTTCATTTCAAGACAGGGTCTTGCTAAATTGCCAAGTTACCCAGCTCAAACTTGCAATCCTCCTGCCTCAGCTTCCCAGAGTACTGGAATTGTAAGTGTGTGTCACCATGCCCGGCTGCAGTCCTGGAAT